TGTCAAAATGATGACCTATTTCAAATGATGGCCAAGTCCTTTCCAACAGTCTGGCTCTTTGTGATCCCACACAAACCCCTGAAGTCTGGTAATGCATTTTTCCCACATGAAATATTTGGCAAAGATGCTGGGTCTGCCCTTCATCAGGCCAAAATGCATGTGACCTCAGAGACATGGCAATAGATGCGAAATGGCCCTCAGGTTGACTGCCCAGAGAATTCTTCCATGAGACGTTGCCCCATGGAGCTGTCTAGGGCACTCTCAACTTGAGGGGCCCAGCCTCCCTTCCCAGACAGGCCCCAGGAGGAAAGCTCAGGGGACCGGATATACCTCCTAAGGAAGGCCTTCCCGGCTGTGGCCAGCAGAAGGCTGAGCAGATGCTCAGGCCCTTAGTGGGGCCAGAGAACCATCCAGACCTCTCTCCTGTCCACAACACTGAGTTCTCTTCGAGCATATATTTAAGACCCAAGATCAGGGGTGTTTTAAGGAAAATATCTGTATGGGGCAGAAAGCTGGACACACTAATCTTGACGCCTGTTCCAATGAAGTTAGCATAGCTGGTTACTTTCCAGCCCCAGGAACTATTTAATTCATCTGCAGCTTGACTTAGTAGAAGTAAGACCTGGTTTGCAAATAGGGAGGCTGCAAGGAGGGGCGAAGAGGAAGGGAGCTGCCCTGTCTATGGCAGGTGAAGGCAGACCTTGAGATACTCGTTTTAGGAAAGAGGTCCTGAGGTGACCTGCTACAGCAGGTCAGACCAGAGCGGAAGAAATGCTCCCGTCCTTTTTCTCCTCTAAAACTACAGGTCCCAGGGCTCTCCCTGGTGGCACAATGGGTTATAGTGCAGCACTATGAAGCTATCCACAGCTACTACAGCAACTAGTTTGATCCCCAGCCAGGAAGCTGACCTGCATGGCATGGCAGACCTCTCCTGACTCACCCACGGTTCCCCTCTGCGGTGTATTTTGCTCCAACTGCGTGGTCTGCTCCCCACTCTGTCTCTGGTGAATCCTCTCACCCCCTGCACCTCTGCCCTGTGCCCCAGTTCTTGTATGCATAAATAAATAAATATTAAAAAAAAAAAAAGACTGTTCAGGTATCAAGGCCAGTCTCAATTAATCATGATAAAAGCTACTTGCCTTTGCCACTGACTTACTAGTATGAGGTAAGGTCTGCTGTTTTTGTTTTTTTTTTCAAGATTTATTTATTCATGCATACAGAACTGGGGTATAGGTCAAGGTACAGAGGCAGTGAGAGGATTCACCAGAGACAGAGTTGGGAGCACAACAGGCAAATCAGTGAGGTACATTGCTGAGGGGAGCAATGGGCAGGTCAGGAGAGGCCTGGCGCGCCATGTGGGTCACCTCCAGGGCGGGGATTGAACTCATGCTGAAGTGGCTTTAGCTTCTTAGTGCTTGCTTTAACCCGCTGCGCCATGAGGGAGGGCCCTGTATGCTGGTCTTTTTAAGAAAATGATTTGTTCCTCCTTGAAAAGGGAAGGCACATGAAAAAACGTCCTTTGCTACTGACCTCTTGCTTCCTGTTTTGTATGGTGCCACATAAAACTACAGCTCTAGGTAAGGTGGCGACTTTGTGCTTGCCTCAGGGAAGTCATCACCAACACACAGATGCAGGGACAGATTCAAAGGGAACAGCCCAGGAATCCCGGCCTGCCTCCCTCACCAGAGGCCTGTCTGGTCCATTAGTGAAGTCCTCCCTTACTTGCAGCTGAAAAGCACTTGGAAATGCAGTGTGTTCATACACGCTGCAGATTCACTGTAAGCCAGTGCACTATGTAATACTCTGCCTAGGATACTGAATTTAAAGAAAAGAAAATCAGGGTGGGGGGGGGCGTGGATGCTACTGAAATCATTAAAAAAAGAAATATTATAAATACAGTATGTCAGAATGCACCTGTAAGAACTGTGAACACACCTGCCTTTGGGAAGTGGGACTTGGGGCTGTGGGAAGGAGGGTATGAAGTAACCGTTAATTTTTCATTTGGTTTCTTTCTGGACGGTCTGCATTTTCT